TTCGAACGACGCTCGGGAGCCTGGGGAAGGCAGCGCCCCACCCCCCAGCAACAGCTTGTGGGAATCCGCCCCCCCCCGAGAGCGACTGCCCCCCCAGGGGCCTGGGGTCTCCCCTGACCCCCCCGACGAGTCTCTGTTCCCCCACAGGGGCCTGGGGTCTCCCCTGACCCCCCCCGAGAGTCTCTGTTCCCCCACAGGGGCCTGGGGTCTCCCCTGCGCCCCCCAGTAATCTGAGCCCCCCCGAGAGAGCGACTGCCCCCCACAGGGGCCTGGGGTCTCCCCTGAAACTCCCGGCGAGAGTCTCTGTGCCCCCCCCAGTAATCTGAGCCCCCTTCCCCCTGAGAGCGACTGCCCCCCACAGGGGCCTGGGGTCTCCCCTCCATCCCCCCAGCTACGTGAGCCCTCCCCCTGAGAGAGTCACTGTGCCCCCTGGGGTCTCACCTGTGCCCCCCCCTGAGAGCGACTCCCCCCCACAGGGGCCTGGGGTCTCCCCTCCGTCCCCCCAGCTACGTGAGCCCCCCCCCGAGAGAGTCACTCTGCCCCCTGGGGTCTCACCTGTGCCCCCCAGCAACCTGTGCCCCCCAGCAACCTGAGCCCCCCTGAGAGCCCAACCCCAACAGGGATCTGGGGGATCCCTTGCACCCCCCCACCTGCCTGAGCGATAGTCTGTCCTGATCCGTCCCCCATAACCCCTCCCAGAGGCTTGGGGAGCCCCAAGCCTTCCCAACTGCCTGAGCCTTTGAGAGAGGCTCTGCCCCCCCCCGCCCATAACCCTCCTAGGAGCCTGGGGTCTCCCCATCCCCTGTGAGATACTCCAGTCCCCTCCCAGAGGAGCCTGTGGAAAGGGGGGGGGGTTCGCCCCCCCGCATGACAATGGGGCCACTCCCTCGTGCCCTGGCCCTGCTCCTGGCCCTGCAGGTGGCCTTGGCCCTGATTGTAGGCCCAGGGGGGCGCGACCAGCCCCAAGAAGCCACCGCCCACTCCTCCTCCACCATGATCAATGGCATGACAGCCCCGACCGCCATGGAGACACTCTCTGCCGCCTTGGCTAGCGCCACCACACCCGAGGTTGGTGGGCACACCCTGGAGGTCTCAAGCAAGGAAGTGGTCACCCCGGGCAACGGTGTAGGCTATGAGTTCACCACAGCCAACGGTGTAGAGTATGAGGTCATCACCGGCAGCAACGGAGGGTATGAGGTCACCACGGGCAACGATGTCCTGAGCAACACCATGGGCTCTGGAGGAGTAATCGGCGTGGGAGACACCCGCTACAAGTGGCTGGCGTGGAGCAAGTGGTATTGCAACTGTGAGATGGGTAGCATGTCCCGGGTGCGGGACATTGCCTACACGAGGCCCGGCCTGCAGCTAGATCTGGACGACTACAACGCCCTGCGCTTCCAGCGCGTGGCTTGCAGCTATGGCCACTGCAAGTGCAGCCACAAGCACCGTGAGTGCGACCATGCCAAGGTGACCTGCAATGCTCCCAACCCCTACCTGTGCGCTGTCAGGGACGTCCGGCAGGCCCGGTACCGCCAGGCTCGGCACTTCTGGATACGAGTCCGCACGGAGCTCAAGGGGCTGTGGAAGAGCATCCGAAAGGCCTTCTCCCAGCTCGAGGTGAGGATAAGCTGGCGCTGCCACATGCCCTTAGGACAGGTGTGAAATGGAGGGTCATGGACAAGGTATACAGGCTGCATGGTCTGGGAGTGCAGGGAAGCACAGGCAGGTTATCCAGGAGGCATGTGCTGGGAGCTTGGGAGCACACAACCACAGAGTCCAGGGATGCACAGGTTGGGATTCTGGGTATCAGGCTGCACATCTTACAAGGCATTTTATGAGCACTAAAGGAAGCACCTTTTAATCAACCTACTAAAATATTTCCCCCTCTGGGTTTCCCAGTGCATCCTGTGATCTCTGAATCTTTCAGATTCTAAGTATAAATGACCCTACCTCCACCCATGGGTCATTAGCAGGGGTCAGCACCTCAGCATCTCTCTCTCTGAGCTAACCCATTAGCTAGGAGCAGTAGTAGGCAGCTATGCTCTAGGGGATCGTCCACTAGAGGGAGGTATGACACGCTACTCGTGCCAGTGTGTTATGTAAGTGCTTCGAGGTAAGGGGTGCCTGTCTACTGTGCAGCAATATGTACACATAATTACAGTGACGCATTTAAAATAGAGGGAAAAAGTTTGAAACAAGAATTTCTACCAGGTCCCAGGGTGGATTCAACCACTTTAACGATTAACCAGCGAGATCACCAGGCATTAGCCTGCTTTGCTATAATGACTGTTAGTATATTCTGTACAGGACAGGCAACTGGTGGAATCAATATTCTTTGAATTGTTAATAGTAATGGGCCTGAATGTAGGCGGTTAATCAGTTTTCACTTTGGTGGGTGTCTGCAGAGTAAACGTAATGAAGCCTTATTACTCCTAATTCATTCCAGTTGTTGAAGCTACTTATAATGAGCATAAGTTTCTGCACGATGCATTTGTGAGATGCTGCAGGCCTCACCCTAGAAACACTCTGCATTTGTTTAATGGGACAACCAGCATGAATGTTTGCAGGATCAGAGCCTGTTTATTTTTAAATTTCCAAACATGGCCAATACATAATCTCTGGCCAATGTCTTTTTTTATTAAAACTCACCAACATTTGCTGACCCTAGTGATCATGTATTTCTGTGTTCCATGTCCTAGACTGTTGTAGGCATGCAAACTTTAAGCTGTTTAAGGAGTTTATAATCTAATATTATTATTGTGTAAAGTGAAAGAGGCACCAAATGGTGTGGATATGAACAGACAGGGTTTGATTTACATTTACGCTGCAGCCTTGGCATTTACAACCCCTTTAAAGCCCATTTGCACTGCTAGAGGGATACAAATGGGCCTTAGTCAAATGAGACTCAAGCCGTTCTGAATTTTTTATATGAACATGCATCTGTGATGGGCAGAGATGATATTTATATGTGAATTAAATATTGGTGCCAAGCAATGTTGTGAAGGCCAAAATTACAACTGGGTTCAAAAAAGAATTGGCCATTGATGAACCTCTCCTCCATAAACTTAGCTATTAGTCAAGATGGTCAGGGGGATGCAACCCCATGCTCCAGGTGTCCCTAAATCTCCAACTGCCAGAAGCCGGCACCCAACGACAAGGGTGGATCACTCCAACTTGCCCTGGTCTGTTCATTTTCTCTGAAGCATCTGGCACCAGCCACTGTTGGAAGACAGGATAGTGGGCTAGATGGACCATTGGTCTGATCCACCATGGCTGTTTATATGTTCTTATTATTCTATAGCAGTAAAACATGCATAGTTTTGTCAACTAGCAAGCTAAGTTAATGCTGTTTAATTGATTTTCTTTCTTCTCTAGGAGTACAGCTGAAGATGAACTCTGAATTCAAGGTTAAGCAGCTGCAGTCTCTGTTAGCAGCAGTTGGCAATAGCAATCAATCACGCTAGTGCCTCCAATGAAATCTATAGTAAATGCTCTTTACAAATCAGTATCTACTCCTGTGCTTTAGTGGGAAAGTCTATTGTTTCTAAAGGTGAGTGTCATTTCAGCCCCTGTTCTGAGGCACGCTTGAACAAGAGAAGCCCCGATGACCTGGACACTGGGAGGTTGGCAGTGCCACTGTACCCCCATTGCTTTCCTCACCCACCAAGAGAGAACACAGCTGGGGCAGGGCGTAGGATGCTAGACTAGAAGACCTATCTTCAGGTCCCTCCTTTGCTACAGACGTGGCCCTTAGCCTCTCGGTATCTCAATTCCCCATTTGTACAACAGGACTGCCCTACCTCACAGGGCGGTGTGAGGATAAATACATTAAATAGTGGGAGGTGCTCAGATACTGTAGCTAAGCTAGAACCCAGGCAAAGGTAGTCTTCCTCCTCGCTTTGAAATAGCCAGTTGCTAAAGGTCAAAAGTTTTCAGCAGGTAGATCTGAAAAAGCCCTTTTAGACCATCTAGTCTGATTACCTGCCTGAATGAAATTGATTTTGCCTATAGCAAACATAACAGCTAGTAATAGATTGATCTCAACTTTTATAGCTTTAAAAAGAAAAGGATTGTTACTTAAACACAGAGGAGTTACTGCCAATTGCACCAAGACAGTGCAGAACTACCCATGGACGTGTTACTGTAGGGCTTCTCCTGCGTTCTTGGTATCAAATTTAAGTACAGGGCAGTAGGTCAAATTTTGGAGCTCCCCAACTTGAACATTATCACTTTAAGTTGCAAGCATGCTGGTATCATTGCTGTTGGTAAAACATTAATAGTCCAGACCTATTAACCATAAAAGTATAATGTTTGCGATAACCCCCTCTTAATAGATGAAGGGCCTAATTCTGACCTCACCTTGATTTTACTCAAGATTTTAGCTGGTAAAAGAGTTTAGGGAGTCCATGAACTGCATGCAGTTAATCAACTCCAGTAATTCACAGCCAACGGTACTAGACTTTTCAAGGCATATTTGTTTAAAAAACATTGCATGCAAATGTGTGCTGCTTGATAGATCATATCTTTCAAAAATCCAACAGGGGAAGTGGATGCAATAGGATAAAGCAGGAAATGTTTACTGCCGGGAAGAGAACAAAATGGTTTGAAGGTCTAGATGTTATTTTATGGCACTTATATTTATTAATCTGATTCCCCACCCACCTCCATATCTGATGCAACTGCCTCAGGTAGGAATTAGCAACATGCTGCTGCTCCATTTATCATCTAAAGAAATCCTATTCTGTATCAGACTAGAAATAAGTTGCAAATTTTTAACACTGTGGGTATTTCACCATTGGAACAACTCACTGTGGAACTATTAGGTTGCCGCTCAGAAACAGGGCATTGAGCCTTTTTGATGATAGAAATTCTGGTTTTATACTGTTAGCATGGTTAGTGGGTTCCACTACTAAACTAATAACAGGAAATGAACAAGGGGCAGTCTTCAAGATCGTTATACAGTAGAATCTCAGAGAGTTACAAACTGACCAGTCAACCACACACCTCGTTTAGAACTGGAAGTACGCAATCAGACAGCAGCAGAGACAAAAAAAGAAACAAATTCAGTACAGTACTTTGTTAAATCCGGGGCCGGCTCCAGGGTTTCTGTCGCCCCAAGCAGCCCCCTCCCCAAAAAAGTCCGCGATCGCGATCAGCTCTACTGCCAACCGCTTCAGTCTTTGGTGGCAATTTGGCCACTGGTCCTTCGCTCTGAGAGGGAGTGAGGGACCCGCCGCCGAATTGCCACCGAAGAGCAGGAGGTGCCGCCTCTCTCCGTTGGCCTCCCCAAGCACCTGCTTGCTGGGCTGGTGCCTGGAGCCGGCCCTGGTTAAATCATAATGTAAACTACTAAAAAACAAACAAAAACAGGAAAGCAGCATTTTTCTTACCTCCATTCTCAAGATGTTCATAACTCTGAGGTTCTACTGTATTTGCTCCTGTCTAGAAGGCTACCCTACGTAGCAGCCTCCCTTTTACAGCTTTTATTCCTTGTACAAAGCCTATGCCAGTCAAAAAGCACAGTCCTTGATTTAATTTAGATTTACCATACCAATTAGTTTGTGGGTCAATCTGCAGTGGGTAGCAGGTAGGGGAAGCCAAGATGATAGCATCTTATGTTCTGTATAAATATTTCATAGTAGGAATTGAAAATTATGGAACAGAGTTATTTATTTTTAAAAGGGGGGGGGGGAGACACAAAGGGATACTCCAACCTTCCACGTCACAAAACATGAGAGTCTCTATTTTCATACAAACAGTCAGACAAAATCTTTGACTTTTATTTTATTTTCAAACACACACTGTGTAGGAAAAGCTAAGGTGTGTAAAAGAGAAAGAAGGATATTTCTCTACAACTGTTCCACAGACACTCCCCCACCCCCATAAAACCCTTTTCCACAGCAGAATATAATTGTAAATTCTCTACAACAGTGTCTCAGTACAGCAGAGATTATTATGATAAATACGTTTCAGTGTATTTGGATTTATTGTAAGAGGGATCCACCGGATAGTTAGCGCTATGGCTTCCCAGTGCTAAGTTTCTTTAGCACAGGGACACCTTTTTATATGCAATGCGTTTCTTGCTTTAAAAAAAAAAAGTTTAGGTAACAACATCAGAATAGCCCAGCTATTCCATCCGAGTGATTGTTTTCAACAGGCCAGCTGTGATATCCAAGTTTGTGCAGGAGCTAGTATTTTACTTATTTAAAAATAAAGTTATTGGAAAACTGAGCCAGATTCTTGCAATAAGTCCTGTGCTTTTTTCCCCCTTTGCCAACAGTTGATCTTTTCCAAATGTATGATGGCTGAGTGAGTTCATTCAGCAAAGCATTTGAACAGATTCCCTCCTTCTTACCCATTCTGCCTTTTTTTTTTGCTTATGCCTTAAAAAAAGAAAAAAAAATCCACAGATCCTCCATTTCTTGCACACCCCAAACTTCCACGGGAATTTGGGGCACTCAAGTGATGGAGGTCCAGGACCCAGTTCTCCAAAAGAGCCAGGAAGTAAAAGAGAAGTGGCCTTTGCCAGAACTCTTTCAGCAAAGAGAGGATTTGGCAGAGCAGAGAAAGCCATCAGGCTTCTGCAGCATTGAATGAGATGGTTGTTTTTCAGGATTATTTTATCCACAGGGATTCTGGTCTCTGCCTAAGACTGTTCCAGATCTCGCTTTTGCATTTGATTTGCCCCAATTGCAATTGCTGCTGCTCATTGGGAAACTCTTGAGGATAAATAAATGCACAAGTACAGGTTCCTTGCTGCCTCCTAGTCATGTGTGAAGAAATGTCCTTGTCATTCTCCATCATCCTGCACAATGTGCAGTTATTTAAAGCATGTAAAGTCACTGCCATTCTGTTCGGCAATATTTGCATTCATGTAAATGAGCGCACAACATGCAGGACAACAGAGAATCAGGCCTCTCCTGCCTCCTGTGGCTTCAGGCCTTTAGTACTAAAGCTTGTTCCCAGTGGCAAGACTCCCATGGACTTCAATGGGGCAGGATCAGGGCCTTAAAATGAGTGTATCACACTTGGCCCTTGACTCCAGTAAGAGCAGGGTCCTTGTTAATGTCAATGGAAGTTTGGTTCAATTAAGGACTGCAGAATATTGGTCCTTATTTTGTTTCTCAACGCAAACAGACATGCAGAGCATGGTAAGAAAGGGTTTTGCACTGATACCACGGACCAGAGAGGTTGGTAGGGAAGGGATGATTTTCATTTAATAGTGACCTGTCAGGTCAAATTGGGATCCAAAACTCAGGTTTTGTTTAAAAACAAGCTTTTATAAACCAATATCCACTTATAGATAGAAAATAAAATTTAAAAAATTGAAACAATTTAAAAACAAAAACCACCACACAAACATTACATCCCCCTGCAGTATTTGGCTTGCAAAACACTGCAATGTTGGGCTAGTGGTGGTGAACATAAAACTGAAACTGACTAGAAAACAAAAAGGGGAAAATGACCTATTTTCACTGTCAAAGCTGAGAGAAACATACAAAGTAATAAAAACTACATAAATAGTGAAACGTGAACTTGACTTTTAATTTTTTTTCCAGTTACAATCATCTAACAATACAGAAATTTATTCTGTGAGGTTTTAAAATAGGATTTAACCTGACAGTGATATTTTTTAAAAAGTCACAGGGCCAGATTTGATTTCTGTCAGCAGGGTATACCTGGAGCAACTCTTCTGGAGTCAGATGCCAGATTTGCACCTGTGTGATCGAGATCAGGTTCCAAATGGCAGTTAAAATCTTCTGAAACCTTGCAAAAATAGATGCGCATCTTGCAACAAACAAAATGGTGTGTTTCCTACTCTGTTGTGTGAAATGTCACCAATTCAAGGCCAGGTTCTGCCCTCATTTAAACTAGTGTAAATCCAGTGTTGCCATCAGTGTTATTCTGGATTTACACTGAGTTAGATGGAGGCACTCTGCATTTCCACTAATCTAAAAGAGGAGTGCTTGTTCCTCTGACTGGAACCTGGCATGCTGACCAATAATGCCCCTTCACTTTGTAGGAACACTAGCAGGCAAACAAGATGCTTTTGCAACAGGCCTTCAGAGCCTGAGCTAAACAGTAGTTTTATGTAAATTTCTAGCTGTCAATGTACAAACAGGACTAAAAAAAATAAAATGCAGAGACTGTCAGGATCTTAACTGTACATCAAACAGACTCCAGTTCAGGGCAAACCATTTAACACCCCTCCCCGCCCCCCAACACACACCACACACACACACACCCCTCACCTCAGTATGTGCTCATAGAAAGGATGGCAGCATCCCCATTTTGACAAACTGTTCCATGTCAACAAATGCATTTGGCAGTTCTAAAGACACACTCCCTCAGGATAGCACAAAAAGTTTTAGTATCAGGTTTTGGAAAAACTGAATCAGCATCTGCAGTTCATATATAAAATACCAAGGAAAGCAACACGCTACAGGAGGAAAAAAATCAGTGGAAGAGCACGGACTAGCTTTCTGCAGAAGAACTGATTTTATCTCCATAGGTCAGCTTTCACAGCTTCATCCAGAATATCTTCTGCTTTCAATGCAAATCAGGCCTAAAACTTTTCATAAACT